ACATATATGGCACGCATCCATTATACGTCATAATAGTGTAGANTAACTGTATATATTTTGAATTATTTTTTTTTTTAGGTAGTTACACTGTTGCTGTTTTTTATTTGTTATAATATTTTAATCTGCAGGTTATCTGTTATTTGGAGGGGTGGAAATCTTTTGCCCAATGGCATTTTCATATATATGTAGAATAAACAAACTTAACTGGAATAAATATAAATTTAAGTGTTCCAGTCTATTCCAGCAAAAATTTTTAATTCTAACATTTTCAGTTATCTAAGCAGCCATCATCAGGATTGAACATGCAATAGAATAGTTTTTAAAATTTAAATTAGAAAATACAGTAAGACCCCGCTTAATGCGGGGGATGCATTCCTAGACAACAAAGTGCTGAGTGAAACAGCATTAAATGAGGTCTTTTTAACATAGAGTAAATAGGGATAGGGGAACACACGACCAAAAATAAACAAATTTTACTTTAATTTTAAGTTATTTTTATATTAATTTGTATAATAATATATGTTAAATAACACAAACAGGCACACAGAAATGTAAAGTTCATTTTTTGTGTTGAAGGTCCTGACTTTTCTGAAATTCTTGTTTTATGCAATAAAGTCATGTAATTTCATTTGTTGCTTTTTTCTTTCTTTAAGCAAATGTCAGTAGCAGAAGATCGCATCCATAATGCCTCATTTTGCTTTTGCGCTCCTTTCAAAATCTGGATCATTCGCTACAATTTGATCAACAATTTTGGTTATTGTTATCAAACTTTTACTAAGAAAATCTGTAGAGAATTTTAAAAAATAGGAAAATAGAGATTCTGAAAACAAAGAACCCAAAAAGGTTCTTTGTTTTCAGAATCTCTATTTTCCTATACCACATGAATTCCATGTTCTGCAGTTCTTGAAGGTCGTTGTGGGTAAGGTGACCAGAAACCTGTAACTCCTCAATATCCTGCTTGTCTATATCTCCTAGTCCTGCTATATCGATTAGGTTGAGTTTGGTCAACCTAACGATACAGTGATAGGCTCTTCTCGTTGAGAATTCTTGGATACCTTCAGCCATAACTTTTTCCACGCTCTGTTCATGCATTTATCAGTTAATTCTTGCCAAGCGAAGTTGATATTTTCTATGGCATCCATGATGTTATATTTTTTCCAAAATTACACCAAACAAACATAGATTTAAAGAAAGTACACCTTTTTGTCACCTTTTGCTGATTAGTTTGTTTGTGAATTATTGCGGCATTTTATTGATTCATACATAATACTATTGTATTATATACGAATCAATAAAATGCAGTGATAATTTAAATCAGCGTAAATTTTGAGCTTTTTTCAGGCTTCGAGCAGACTGTATCATATCGATTCAGCATTAAGCGAGGCAGCACTAAGCAGGGTCTTACTGTATTAGAAAAATTAAAATTTTTTGCTGGAATAGGCTAGAACTTTTATAAATTTACATTTATTCCAGTTAAGAAGTTTATTATTAAAGTAATGGCATTGCCAGCCAAAGAATACTTCAAGTTAGTGAAGAAATTAGTAAGAATCAACCCCCCCATCTTTTTTCCAAGAATGTAAAATCAACAAAGTGTATCCTGTGTCGGTTTGAAACATTAAACTTCCGAAAGACTGTGTATTCATGATAGGAAGGTTTAGGGACACAAATATGAGAAGATTAAACAGAAAAACCAGAAGAGCTAAGTATACTATACTTCATAAGACTATAAACCTGGAGGATCAATTGGTGCAGAAGGATCCATTTGCACTCGAACAAGCCAACACCAAAGCAGTGGCAGTAGCATCCAGATTGGAAACCTTAGAAAAAAAGTATGTCAAAAAGTTGAAATAGCTGTGTAAATGGCAACCTATGAAGAACTATACCATTTAATGAATCAGATCATATGTTGAGATGGACTTATTCTCCCAAAATGCCTACTTGAAGCAACAAAGATTGGTTTGTCATATACACTGAGAAACCACTAATATCGAAATAGTCATACTTAAAGTGGAAAGCATTCTAGATCCTCTCAATGAACATGTGAAATAAGCCTGCAGATGGGAAGTAGCCTTGAAAATTTTAAACCAACGTCGTCATCACCTCATATCCAACCATAAATGGACAAACATCAACAACATGAGGAAATTGTTAATACAGAATGATGTAGTACTCACCAGAGCAGATAAGTCTAAATCAATGGTAATCGTTAAGAGGAACACATACATGAAGGAATACAGACTGTACGATAGTAAATGGTATAATAGTAACCTCCATACAAAGACAAGTAATCAATATATCACAGTTGCAACTAGTAAACTACTTAAACATATAAGAATGCTTTCACCAGCTATACCAAGACTTTTTGGTTTTGCTAAAATACACAAGTTAGATTAACAATTGTGACTTGTGGTTGAGAAATGGCCATCAATAACAATCTTATTATAGAAAAAATGCATATACAAGCTGTTAAAACCTCAAATAATAAACACAGGTTTCAGCATCAGTAGCCCGGCACAGTTAGCAGAAAAGCTAAAGCACATTGTCTTAAATGATGAATACATTTCTGTTCTAGATTTCCAAAGTTTTTACCCGTCCATTAAACTGGAATCTTGTCATAATCGTTTGCGAAAGGAATTAGATAGAACCATAGACAGAATGGCCACCCACAACCAAACATTGATAGTGATAGCACAATTAATATGCTATTCATCTTTGTTCAAATTTGATGGGGAAATGTATGTTCAAAACAGAGGCATTTCTATGGCAGTTCCATGGCAGGTTTACTATGTAAACTAGTGCTAAGGGAGATGGAGAAAATGGTTATTCCTAAATGCAAAATAATATTTTATTATATAGGTGTTACACAGACAATGTACTGATTACATGGAACACAACTAGATATACACTGCTATTGATTGTGTCGATGAAGCATCTGTATGGATTAAAAATAGCTCTGAACGAATTTAGTAATAACGAAGCACACTTCCTGGATCCGAACATTATCCTAGTAATTGGGAGATATTCACAAAGGCATATGTTAAACCAACACACTCATTATACATCCCTTACTGCTCAAACGACCTCTCAGATACAAAATGGCAACTTCTAATGCCCTTATCATAAGAGCATACACACATTGCACAGACATAAGGGACACCATAAAAGAGTTGAACAGAATCAAAAACATAGCAGCCACTTATGGATACAAACAAAGTACCATCAACATCTTAGTTAATAGATACAAGCATAAAACACTCTCCATAAAAAAATAATAAACCCATTCCATTCATGACACACCAGTAACATATAACAAGTTGCTATATTGCACCTTTAAAAAAGTTATTAGACAGGGCAACAAGCAACAATCTTATAAATGCAATTGTATGGTCTACAGTTTATTGCATAATGACAGGACCCAACAGATCCTACCACAGTCCCAGGAGTGTACAAAATACCCTTTACGCTATGTCTAGAAAATAGAATCAACAAGTATATAAGATACACAATCTGAAATCATCCTACCTGGCTCAAGGAACATCAGTATGATGTACAGTACATAAAGGCAAAAGCACCACAACACTGACTATTATGGCAATGCTTTCAGAAAATATACCATATTTCATAGATGCAACATTCCAGAAAAACTCTAGAAAAAAATAGCCATATACAAAAATACTACTACTTGCCTGATTATATCTATTAGATATATGTTATAATATTATATAGTATTTATGTATGACAAACNGTAAATTCAATTAGATTTCATCCTTCACAGGATCTTGTTATTACTTCTTCTGGAGATCAAACAAGTCATGTTTGGAGAGCTTCAGTATCAACAACACAGGGCAGTGAACAAACTGTAAGTTCTTACTGATAAAATTATAAATATTTTCTATATTATTAGTATGAAATATAAATACAGTTGAAAATCTTAATATATCAACAGCATTCATTTACAGATTGCTGTAATATGATTATCAACTGTAAATGTACTAGTAAATAATTTACTTCATTGTAAAATCAAGTAAAATTCTACTGAGAACATTACATGAGATTTAAATTGAATTGTCTGTTCAGTTTTTATTTATAGTAAAACCTCACTAAGTGTTAACCTGAAGTCATGTTAACTCTAAGCTATCAACAAGTCCTTGGCACAGTATGCAGGGTTTTCTGTATAATACAGTCTTATTAAGTTAAAATTGCCAGTACTTTAACTTGAACTTATTTTTTGTGTACTCTTTTTTTGATAGGTCTGTGATCTTCATTTTCTTTTATATTCCATGTGAATACAGACAATTAAGATAAAAGAAACACTATGGTTTCAAGCCAAACACTCCATCAACCTTGTGTCAAATTCCTTCATTGATATAGTATGTTACCTACCTTCTGATTGGGACAGAAAGAGGCACATTGACAACATCCTCGAAAGGCTTCTAAACTATTCTGTACATACTATTCATAGAATAATTGCATAATTGTAATTATTTTAGGATTCTTGAGATTCTTGACAGATTCTTGAGAAGGCTTGATAACAATTGTATGGGAGAAAAATTTGAGAAAATCAGATATTAAACTCATTACTTTAAAACTCTAACTCAAAGTTGAGATTTGTTTTACTTATAACTTGCTTTTATCCTGACAATATATACAGTGACTACCACAAAGTATTTAGACACCTCTCCAAAACTACAGGTGATCTGTATCCAGACTGCATGTCTGCCAGTGTTATAAATATTTCAGCACAATGCAACAACTGCTACAATTCCATGCAGTGCAGAGCTTAGACTTTTTGTGAAAGGTGAAATTATAGGTGTCATTGATGTGGAAAGTTGATTTGTGAAATCACAGACACTGCAGCACCTCAAATCAATTGTGTGTGGTGATATAGTCAGTGGAAGATGGGTCACTGATTTGGTTGGTTATCCCAATCTGGGAATGTGACCCAGATTAGGATAACCAATCAAACTGCAACCCAGGGCCATAGGGTACTGCTGTGTGAACTATAGGAAAATTACACCCAACCATGNCAACTCTAAGATGTCAGATAGATGTTCAGAAGAGTCGTTGATATTTCGAATGAGAAAATCCCTTAACTCACAAAAACATGGCTCGATGCGGATGGATGGGAACATGGATTCAAAATCACAAACAGTGAAATATACGCCATCTAAGTTGTCAAGTGCATTCAATCTGTGAATCAACTGTACCGGATTGGACACAGTACACGGATATTCCTCGATGGTGCTTGTTACAAAGGAGTTAAGCATGTGTTCTATAAGTATAGTCGGAGATCTCGACTTGTCGACGACCGGACGTAGTTGTTTACCGTCTTTATGGAGTTTGACGAAAGCAAATAAGCGTGGTGCAATGGGTGTCGAAATAGTTGCCTTAGTTATCTTTAGTACTCTAGCCAATGGTGAGTTGGTCATACGTGCAACCCTTGCTTGAGTCCTTTCCAAAAATCCGCTGGGGGCCTTAGTGCATTCAGTGTTGCTGATGTATTCATACAAGCCATTTCTATACGTATCCCTTTTCATAAGAACAATGCTTTTGGATTTATCCGCCCTTACAGCGACCACATCATTACGACTCATCCATCGTCTAGAATTATGTATGGCACTCGCATATGATCGTTCATCGTGTGCCTTGTGGTTATAGATATCGAAGAAAACCTTCCATCGGAAGTATTCTTTACGCGTGTTGCCAAGACCTTCCACCATCCTCTCAACATCCAGTATAACCTTAGTTAAGTCCACCGGAAGGGAAGGAGCAAACGCGGGGCCCAATCCTACTACGTTAACCAGCATGGGCGGAGGTTGAATGCCATCCCAACATACAAGAGAACCCTGTATTCGGTTTTCCTTCAGACGCTGGAACGTCGACAGCCATTCTACTTTCTTACGATGCTGTTTGCGGAGTCTCCTAGAAATAGAGTCTGCTAACGGGACGACACTTGCATTAACTCTGGTCAGGATGTCGGGATTCCTCTCATAAAAATAATTTTCTAATCGGATAACGTTGCTCACTAATGCATACCTTCTTCTCCTAGCATATCTTATCGCTTTTTTTAAACAGATGCGCCTAACCACAGGTAGTAACGTAGAACAGTCAGGAGGCAAACGTATTCTATAAATTGAAGCAGGAAATAATCCCAATGAACGGCACTTAATCAGAAAGGCTAACTTGGAAGAAGTCCTGCATAACTTCACAACAGCTTTTCGATAGTATTTGGCTGGCGTAGCCATATCTAAACAATCATTCTTCATACTGGTGTGAGAATTAATGGGTGTGGAGGGCGTATTATGACGTATAATAGATGCGCACCATATATGTCTACACTATAATATAAAGCATCGGATTTTTGAAGCAGGAAACCATTTCCACGAATAGTTTTATTAAGGCCCTGCATCGGACATGCGCATAATTGCGATGTTCGATTTTTTTTTGAAATCTTGGAATCGAACCTGAGGATGACCGGTGAAGACGGTAGAAAACGTTCGTTTTTAAATTGAATTTTGCTGGTATATTGGTAATTTTGTGGTTAGGTTGATAATAGCATTAATTCCTCATATTAACAAGAGGATATAACTCTATTTCCAAGGTGCTACTGCAAAACACTTCAACACAAATGTCACTAATGCAAAAGTAGCCACTGAATAGCCATTATTTTTTTAAATTAAAATTTAACTACAAATAGAAATAGTCACTACTGGTACATAGTTAATACATACATGAATTTCACATATAATATCTTTATTAAAATTCTGTTATTTAGATTAGCATCATCACTATTTTGCATTTTCAGTAACCTGTTAGTTTCAGTCCACATTAAGTTCAGTTTTCATGACTTTACTGTATTAGCATTTTAGAATAGTTTATATTCTCAGAATGCAAGAGAAACAAAACAATCATTTTTCTCTGTCATTAATTTTAACTACTAAAATTGTTTTATTTTTAAATTAATAAGTAACTAGAAAAACTTAACATTCTTTTTTTTTATCTTTGCCTTTTTCCATGTTTATGTGGGACCTTCTCTAATACATTTTTTCCATTTCTCCCTATCAAGGGCTTCTTCTTCTCTCTTGGTTCAAGTCGAAGACCCACCTTATCTTTCTAACATATCTTTGGTCTTCCTCTTTCCTTTTACTACCAGTTTTCCGATCTTCTTTCCAACATAATTGTCACTTCTTTGCTCTACGTGGCCAAACCACCTCAACCTACATTCTTGCATCTTTTTGCTCAAGGCCCACCTTAACAGAACCTCTAATAAAATCATTACTTATTCTATCCTTCCTTGACACTTCACACACCCATCTCAACATTCTTATCTCTGCCACCTCCATCTTTCTTTCTTGGGCTCTTGTTATTGCCCATGTCTCAGCTCCATATAACATTGCAGGTCTAACAACTGATTTATACAATTTTTGTTTCAGATTGCAGCTAACTTTCTTGTCGCATATCAGAAACTGCTCAGCTTTCCGTAGTTCATTCATCCACATTGAATTCTATGCTGCACCTCCAAGTTCAATCCTCCTCCTATCTTGACAAATGTCCCAAAATATTTAAAACTCGGAACCAAAGGGAGCAGCACATTTTGGATTTTAATATTATATTCATCTCTACCATTCAGAGTCATATAAGATGTTTTAATTCTGCTAATCTTCATGCTCCTTTCTTCCAAAACTTTCCGTCAATCTTCCAGTTTCTTCTCAGTCTTGGTTTGGGAAAGTTCACACATCACAATATCATTTGCAAACAGCATACTCCACGGAGCCTCAAAATTCACGTCACACACCAACACATCTATTATCAGGTCAAACAAATAAGGGCTAAGGGCTGATCCCTGATGCAAACCAACATTAACAAAGAACCCTTCTGTAGTACCCACACTATTCTTAACTTGGGTCTCTGCTCCCTCGTATATTTCCTTGATGAGTCTAACATATTTTTCTCGAACATTCTTTTCCCTCAAACATCTCCATATCTCTCTCCTTGGTATACTATCATACACCTTTTCTAGATCTATGAACACCATATGCAAATCTTCCTGCATTTCCCTGTGCCTTTCCATCAGCTGTTTTAGAGCAAAGATAGCATCAGTCGTACTCCTTCCCGGCAAAAAGCCAAACTGTTCCTCTCCAATCTCAGATTCCTGCCTAATCCTTCTTTCTACAATTTTCTCTCAAATCTTTGTAGTATGGGACAATATCTTTATACCTCTGTAATTTTCACAATTCTGTACACCCCCTTTACCTTTAAAGATCGGTACAAGAATGCTCTTCCTTCATTCATCTGGGATCTTCTTTTGCTGACAGAGTTTCTTCATAAGATCTCAGAGGTTATCAATTCCCTCCTTGCCCAAACCTCTCCAAGCCTCGACTGAAATTCAGTGCCTACTGCTTTCCCCATCTTCATTTTCCTAAGCACACTTTCCACTTCTCTGAATATCTTGCACCACTCCTTCGTTTGCCTCTCCATTCGTGTATAAAGTTCTGGGGTTTTCTTCATTCAATAAATTCCTAAAATATACTTTCCATCTTTCCTTGACCCTTTTGTAACCTTGTAATACCACTCCTTTATCATTATTAATCAGTTTAATACAGGTAAAATTTTTCAATGCCTTATCTCTTGCTTTGGCAATTCTCATCAACTGCCTTTCTCCACTTTTCCTTTCAAAAACTTTATAATTCTCTTCTAAAGCCTTTGCTTTCGCAATAGCCACTGCCTTTTTAGTCATTTTATTTGCCAAATGGTAAGTTTCTTTATCTACAGGCTTTCCCATCAAATCCCTCCTTTTCTTTGCCTCTTTCTTTTGTTTAACTGCAGATTGTATCTCAGCATTCCACTACCAAAGTTCCTTTCCTTCTGGTGATCCCTTCCCTGAAGTTTTTCCCAAAACCTCTTTTTCCAACTTTCAAAATGCAATTACTGTTCAGCAACCACCATGTTTGCACATCATCCGGGAACTGGATTTCTTTTAACACTTTTATCTTAAACTCTTTCCTTAATTCCTCCTCTTTCAATCTCTACCATTTGATTCTTTGTTCAATCTGGCTAACACAATTCTTACAATGGCCCATAAGAAAGTTAATAACTAGAAAAACTTGTCATTATTTTAGTTTAATTATAAGCTAATATAATATGTAATTTTATCAAAATAAAATTTGAAATATAAAATTTCTATTCAATAAAATTAAGTTAATTTAATAGGAAATAATAATAAATCTAATCTAATTATGCCCTAAAATCATTTTTTAGAATTAATATTTTGTTTTGTATATTACATGTATTTAAAATTCCAATTTTGTTACCATTATTATATTATTACCCTATTAAATATATATATATATATTATTTATATTTTAGCGTATAGTTTTCCAAATGATTCATTAGAAGCAGATTTTTAAAATCCAAAATATGCCGCAAGATAGTTCTAGTGGCAAACCTCCCAAAGGTAAAAGAAAAAAGAATGTATCAAGAGTCCTGAGTCATGGTGATGCAGATCTTCAATTACATTATAACAAAACTGATGATGGCGATGCTTCACTTCCTCTTGCTTTTCGGTAAGTCATTGTCCAACAAAATAAGTACAGTTAAACTTGGTTTTAACAAGCAGGAAGGACCAAGCAAACTTGTTCGTTATGTATAAAAACAACCAAATGATTGCTTTAAATAATCAGGCTATAACTTTGTTAATTTAATGCTAAGTAATTTGCTACTAGAGGTAGACATTAGGTACCATTTCTTATAGCCCGATTATTTTAAGGCGATCATTTATTTATGTTTCTATATACATACCGGGCTTTGCAATGTTTGATATAATTGTTCATTATGACTGTTACCTCCAATAACTGTTGTTAGTATTTTAGAATGAAGTTTTTTTTCTTATTTCTTAAAATTCCTTATTCTACTCAATACAATAGCATTTTAAAACACAATGAAAAATTTTCTAATTAAATTATTTGAAATGCTTTGAAAAACTTAAAAATATAATTAATATGAATTTAATTATAATTATTAAATTCAATAAGAGACGGCACCTAACACCTACCTCTAAGCCAAATTACTTAGCATTTAATTATTAATAGTAGCAGTAATATAGCTCAATCTAATTCTGCAATCATTCAGCTTAATATAACTATCAAGCTTACAAATGTTTATATTTGATTATCCATATAGTTCAAATATTATTTGCCAGTTTGGCAGTGTTTTATTAATAAAATGCTTATATTCATAATGTTTCAAAACTCAATGCATTTCTGCTGTACTTCATAACAAATTATAGTGAAGCATTGAAAATCCAGATTCAGACAACAAAAAATAGCTATTAATTTAACCCCTTTCAACAGGAACTTTGTTTTTTCAGCCTTGCATTCTTGATATTCTAATATTCACTTAGAATTTGTCCAATTTTTAAATTATAATTAGTGTACTCTTTGTTTGAATATAGTAATTCTGTAAATTATATTTTGAGTTTTTTAAAATATTCCTATATTCCTTTTAAAATACTGGTTTAATCCTTTGTTCAAACACGATATAGTGCAATCACTCGACCACTTTGCATTTTTCATCATTTACTTTTATTCAGTTGATGAAAAATGCCAAGTGGTGAGTGTTGCACTATATTGTGTTTGAACAAAGGAAAAATACCGACGCTGTTTTAAGAATGTTAATACTGTTTAAACTTAAAACAGCTAAACTTGATTTACAATACATTTGGAGTTTACAGTAATTAAAATACTTGCACATATATTTGAAAATTCAGATGAGATCCAGCCCAATTAATCTGGATTTTTGATGCTCTGTACTTACAAAGCTTCTTGCACCTGAGACTAAATCCTACAACAGATGCCTATCTTTATGTCAATTTTTCTTTAAACACACCCAGATGCTTCACATACTACTTCCAACACTGATATTTAATGAACATTAGATGAACAAAAGAAAACAAATGTTTTCAGCTGCTTTAGTGGCTCGTTTTAGGTTACAAAAAAATTTTTATATTTTTAAATGAGTTTGTACATTCAATAAAAGGAATTTTTTATCAACAAACTTTTTCACTTTGTTGAAAAAAGGCACAATGAACATTTTATTTTTAACAAAACATTTACAAAACAGAACAATAACAAACTTCAAATGTTCCAAAACTCCAACATTCCAAATTCTTTTTAAAATCAAACTGCTTTCAAAATGAGTGCTATCTAGCAAAATTCTCACAATTCGTAACATATATAAATTCAAATGAACTAAAACATTTGAAATGCACAGAGCATTCTACACTTCAATGACATTATATAAATTAAAATAAGAATTTAAAAAATTTTTTAAAACATTTCTAAAAATTAAAGATTACAACATTCAATCTAAGGCTATCAATACTTATCAAGCTTCTGGCAGATTTAGTATGCCTTTATTATTAATCCACTCCTCTTTTTGCACCTGCTTAAAAATTTCAATGACCTCTGCTGTTTTGAGTTTTTGTGCATCATAAATTCTTAAGTGTTATTTTTTTCTCCCCATTTGGGACACCCAAGATTCACTTGCAAATTGGGCCAGTGCTCCTTTTTTAGGTCTTGTATGTATGTTGTTTAATTCTGGTACTTAATAATCTATCTGTGGAGTTTATATATGCTAAACAAGTTTTAAATCTTCTGTCCACTGATGATATTTTATAGACCCTGGGAACTTTTTTAGGTTCAATGTATCTTTACTCTTAGTTAGCAGTTTAAATATAATAGGGCAACATGTATAGGCTCTTTTTGTTTTACTATATTTAAACTGCTAACTAATGGTAAAGATAAATTGAACCTATAAAAGCTTCCAGGTTCTATACAATATCATTAGTGGATAGAAGATTTAAAACTTGTTTAGCATATATAGACTCCACAGATTATTAAGTACTAGAATGAAAAGAACATATGACACCTAAAAGAAAGGAGAAGTATGTAACAGCATTGGTTCAATTTGCAAATGAGCCCTGAGTGTCCCAAATGGGGAGAGGCAAAAATAATACAAAAAATTTATGATGCACAAAAATAGTATATTTCTGTTTTGTTCTATCTTATTTACATATTTTTTTTAACATGGATTTTTACTTTTCAGGGGGCGTCTGTACGAACTATTTAGCCAAATCGAAAAGGAGTTCGAGGTATTATATGCAGAAAATCTTACTTGTAAGTTGATAAATCTGAAGTTTTGATTTTGTATTTTATAACAAACTAGTTCATTTATAATTAACAAGTTAGAACATTTAGGCATTAAAAATCATATAAATAGGCAGACAAAAATAGGCAAATTAGTAGGCGCTAAATCTGAAAATAAGCTTTTAAAAATCCTGAATATTAATCAAACTGATTCAAAGAACAATGATACAACTTATGTGCTAACATTTAATGCAAACAATAGTAATTTGTTTTCCATTTTCATCCATAGAACTTTAATATATTGCTTAATTTTTAGAAAAATAAAAATGGGGGACAAAGACATTCAAAACATCTGTATAATTAATAAATACAGTGGTACCTCAGGATATGAAATTAATTTGTTTCGAAAACTGATATCGTATCATGAAAATGTCATAAGGTGAATCATTTTTCCCCATACGATTACATGTAAAACCAAATAATTCATTCCAACGCGAAAAACACGCTCAAATTAAAGCTAAGTAGTACATTTTAAAAAAAATAACTATAGTAAGGAAAACACTGAAAAATGCGTTTTGTAGTTGTAAATGTATAAATAACCATAATAGAATAATAATTGATAAAAAAAAAAAAAAAATGTAGTTTTATTTGCACTTTACTTTTGAGGATAGACGACAGTGGAGGTGTAAACTGGTGGCAGAGAAGGGAAATGATACTAAAACTTAACTTACATAACATAATGTAACAATAACTTAAAAATAACTTAGATTTTTAAAAAATTAGTGTTGTTTTATATTTTTTTGTTTTAATTTTTATTCACTGCTTTTTGCTTTCTTTCCTTCACTTCCACCAGCACTTTCACTGGATAGAGGTCACTTGGTAAAATATCTATCCAAAGAGGTTTGGCTTTGCCTACTTTTTAAAATGTTTCTAAAATGACTTAGGCAAATGTCATTACTCCGAGCAGCAATATGGCCAGTGTGAACCTTTTTGGGATGTTTCTTTTCAATAAAATCAGTCACTTTCTGATAATACCGCAAGATTTCCTTTATCAAGCGAGATCCTTCCACGACGAAGCAAACACACGGACTGAGACCGATGAACATAAGTGAATAAAAAATGGTGCTGCAAACTAATGTAATGTTGTATGGTGAGTTTTTGTTCGTATCGTGGAACAAAAATATGTTTGAATTTCATGTTGTATCCTGAAAATTTCATATGCTGGGGCATCTGTATATATTTTATGTATGTATTTTAATGTCATTTTTGCATTACAATGTTGTTATGATAAACTATAAGCTCTTTTTCTAAATTAATCTGTAGAAAAGAAATTATCTTATCTCCTAGCTTTAGTAATAAATAACGTTCAAACTTTCCTGAATTACTTTTTGAACTTTTGAAAGTCACAATAATACAAAACAATCTTACTAAATTCTGTTTACAAAATAAAATTCCTATTTGTTCTATAGAATTGATTTTACATAAGGATCAAGCTTTTAATATCTATATTATAAATTACATAAAAAAGTGAGAATATCTATTTAGAGTTGATGTAATATATTATGGGCTTAAATTCTAGTGAAAGAAAAGATTGATTCATTGAATGAACAATTGGAAAGAGAAACAAATCTTTCGTCAGAACGCCCCATCGATTATGTGGATAGCGGAGAACCCACGAGTGGTAAAACTAAAGGAAAGAGAGAATCCTTGACAGGTACCTAACATTTTGTGTTAAATAACATAAGTAATAATTTATAATTAAAAATTGAAAAATTCAAAAATTAAAATTTAAGATTTTTTTATTAATTGCATGCTTATATTATATTAGATATTAAATATAGTCAGAGCATTACACAGAATAAAAAATTTTTTGTTCTGGAAATAATATTTATGCATGTTTGACAGTTGACATTCTCTCATTCTATTTTAAACTACTTTAACAGTAAATTTTAAGATAACTTTTTAGAATGTTGAAACAAGTTGCAATGTTATTAATTCAAATTTTTAAACATTTTACAGCAAGCCAATTATCTCAAAAGATCAAAAGCACTTACAGGTTGAAAGCTTCCACTAGTCGAATTGTATCCACTTTCAAAGCTCCAACAATTAGCTGTCACCAAGTGTCTGAATATCTTGGACATAGAGATGGTGTATGGGAAGTCAGTACAGCACGTTGTGGTTTACCAGTAATAGCCACAGCATCAGCAGGTAACAGGAATACTTAATATTAATTTTCTGTGAACCAGCTAATACAAAAACTACTGTCAAATCCTTTACTTTTTCTTCTAAAGAAGAAAAAAAGTATAGGTGTATATAGATATGACATGTATTTGACTTATCCTTGCATCATGAATTACACCAAAAATACAATCCATGAAGCAGGGATAAGTTAACAATTACAAATACACAAATTTTATACAGTATATTATACAAGCTATAACAATTTAATTCTTAGAATGCACCTGTAGAAAATGTGTGTGTACATGTGAATTAGCAATTGTTGTCATCTTCAAAGAACCCTTCCAAAGTTATGTATTTGGTTATATGCTGTTGCCATTGCTGGAAAAATACCTATAATTCTGTTTCTGGAATACTCATAAGTTCCTTTGTTATATGATGCTAGATATCAGAAACATACAAAAATCTTTATTCTTTTATGGTAGTTTTTATTTTTTGAAAAAGCCAGAAATTTTGAGGGAGTCAGATGAATAGGCTGGATAATCCACTGCAGTGCGCATAATGATTTTTCAAGATTGTCACACTTTTGCAGCCAATGTTTGTATATGTCTTAAAACTTTTGTTGATTATATTTCAAATTTGGTTTTACAAATTTTATTCCTCTTTCAAATAATTTGTGTGTAGTATTAATCTCAACATAAAATTGCATTGAATTTAACTATGTTGGTTTGTCACATGCAAGAACAATGCAGACAAGAAAAATTTTTGTAATATATTGCAAAGATATAGACTATTGAAATGTAAAATATTGATTTTAATGTATAAATTTACTAATAGTGTATTGTAACAAATGGATTAATGTATAAAATTTATATAATTTTTAATTTAACAGCATAATTCATTTAAAGAGCTGACATTACATGATCACTTGCCAAAAATTTGTTGGTCCTAACAGTGATCCTTTGAAATTTTTACTTCCAAAGTAAAGATTCAGAAAAAAAAATTGCTTTATTGAATATTTCAAGAAATATTAATTTTTTAAAGTAAAAATAATTGTTTCCTTTTATCACAGAGGTTTTTTGTTAAAAATCAATTAAAAAATTTAAGAAATAAGATTTTACTAAAGTACTTGTAAAATCTTAAGTAAAAAACTTTCTAGAAAAGTTAAAGAAAAATTTTACAGGTAGAAGCAATTAGAAATTAGATTCACTTCTGTTTTACAAATAAAATCTTAGCACCTTTTTTAATACACTAAATAACATGTGTAACCCACCTTCTGATCAAGGATAGTTGTCCAAAAAATAAAAGATTTACATTCTGGGAAATAAAGAAGTAGATTGAAGAATTGAATGGGTCTTATTATTAACTAAAATTTAGGGAAAGAACTGGTAAGAAGTCCTATAGAACAATGAAAAGGTGGATTATACATATTATTTATGCATATTAAAAGAAAGGACAAATGGCAGAGTATAGAATTAGCTCCTTTTTCTTTACTTTTTGCTGGAGCATAGTACAGATCTTATTTTTAAACAGGTCACTTTTTAACTTTATTATAGTAACAAATTGAAATCAGCAGTGTAATTAAAACTTCAAATGGCTATTTGAAATTTGATGTGTGTATTTTTTTTTAATATTTTCGATCAAATTACTTAAAAATAAGTTAAAAATTTTATTATCATCTATCCATGTTTACACAATTTCAGATTAAAAATTAGGGTTTATTAATACTACACCTAAAAAATATACAACTTTCTCACATCATTTAATTATTTTTTAAAAAATCTGACAGGTACTTGCAATTAGCCAACAATTGAAAAACTTGTCAAGTTTGCCTGGTAGATAATTTTTTATATTTCTCAATATTGTAACTAGATAAAACAATCAACAGATTCATTTCATGTAATAAAGTATATATTACATTAAGATAATGATAATACAGTCGACCCCTCTATAACACTGTTAATTATTCCGTTTTATATGAATTCCATGTTGTACGAGTCAATTAGATTTTACAAATACATGAGCCGTTCACAGCCCGGCATACGTATTTGTAAAATCTAAGTGACTCGTACAACATGAAATTTATATAAAATGGAATAATCAACAGTGTTATAGGGGGGTCGACTGTATTGACTTTTTTAAATAATTATTTCTATAATAATAATAATAATTCAAGGAGATTCCTTGAGTCCTCTCTGGTTCTGCCTAGCCCTGAACCCATTATCCAACATGTTAACAACACGCATTATGGCTACAATATCAGACATGAAAAAACAACACAGTTTACGCTGTCACATCTCATGTTGAAATGGAAGTAATTACACTCGGTGACGAAGTTGAGGCCAATGAATTTTTAACACAGTAGCATTCCTCGGAAATGAGTGAGGACCCTACTCCGACGGTATTAAGAAAGGCAAGAAGAATCATCGCCTTACCAGGTGTTTCCTCAACCCTAACTGGGTCGCTCGATCCCCCCCCTCTAATGTTGTGTGTCCTAGGTTGTTCTTTCAACCAAAAACCCATAAGACAAACTGGCCGTTACGTCCGCTAGTAAACAAACGGTCTCATCCAACCTATTATTTAGAAAAAGCGCTTGCTAAATTCCTTTGCTCATTAGTTCCAAATTCTCCATATGTTACTCCCTCTTCTGTAATTGCTAAATCCACCATCACTTCAAGTATTGGTACACTACGGCCAGACACCTACACCTTTTACAAGCTGGATGTAGTATCTTTATATCCCTCAGTGCCAACCTTTGAGGCAGTAATGCTGGCTAATTCTCTACTTCTAAGAAAGGGCTTTAACATCCAACAGGTGCTTGATTTACGAGATGCGCACATCTCATGTACATGGACGACATAAAACTTTATGCATCCACACACAAAAACAACTTTAGCAGCTCCTACAAATCACACATTCATACACCAAGGATATACAAATCTAGTTTGGCTTAGACAAATGCAAAACACTTCACATAAAAAAGGAATCCTGAAGAAAGAAGATTTTGCACTTGAAAATGGAGATGTTATTGAATCCATTGAAGAGGGAGAGTTCTACAAGTATTTAGGATTTCAACAGGCAAAACTAACAGAACATACACAAATAAAGCAAAGATTAATTAAAGAATACCAAAGTAGGTTAAACGCTATACTCAAAACACAGCTAAATGCAAAACACACAGTTAAAGCAATAAACACATATGCCATCCCAGTACTCACATACTCATTTGGAGTTATACATTGGACTCACACAGATCTCGAGCAACTCCAAAGGAAAATAAGAACAACACTTACTAAGCATAAACAACATCACCCTAAATTCGCTATAGAAAGATTAATCTTTCCATGTAAAGATGGCGGACATGGCCTGATTGACATTATAAACCTTCATTACAAACAGATACAATCACTGCGAGAGTTTTTCTACAGGAAACAAGAAACATCACAATTACATANATATATATTGTAAAGTCTTTGTAAATCCGCACTTAAAATGTAAATTTTAATATTGGCGGTAGACTATCACACAGCTTTAGCCAATGATTTCACTTTATTCTATTACTATAGATGCATTTCGGTCCTTTTCTAAAAAAGGTCCCTCTTCAGTACTATAAAATACAAAAGTTTACATAAACTTTTTCAGCAAGTAAATATTTAACATAACAATAAATATTTTAGTATTACAATACCATTTGAGTACACAGTTTTATTTATACATCCCTTTAGCACTTTTATCTTGAGCGCACTAAATTATTTTTATTTATGTCTTGCTGTAATAAATTTTACTCTATATTAGATCTAACAATTATACTCAATAAAACTTTTAAAAATCTACAAAAATTTTAAAAAATTATCTAAATAAGTTCTAAAAAATACAAATGTAGAACATGATTAACGTTATAAAAATCAATTCTAAAAAACTTACTGTATGTATTTTTCTATGATAGTCCATGAACTGTCTTTTAAAAAATTTGTAGGATTATGTACCAAGTGTGCACCGTTCGACTACACCATTGCTTAAGCTTGTTTTCATCGTGGAGCTTGTCATCGAATGGCACTCGCGTGCTTCCTGATAAATTATTTTTTTTTGTGAAAAACTCACTGAACTTTGGAGACATCATTAATATAAATATAATTTTTATGGACGTTAAATAATAAATGGTTTTTAGTAGGTCCGCTGCTCATTTAAACTCAACAATTTATACAATATCCGCTATTGGTCTAGATTCAGCCAATCCTGTCACGACACAAGTCGGCGATGACGTTTTACCGTGTTATATGAGTTTCTTTTAGCGTGTTTGTACAAATACTGTCGCAATTTTTTCGCTGTCATATAGGAATCCGAACTATATGAACCCGTTTTAATAGGGGTTCTACTGTATAATCAAACATCAAACATTTGCTGAGCTTACTATTAATTTAATACTCAAATGCTTTCAGACTATTTCTAATAGGCCATCCTCAGGAAATTACTGTTCTACAATCGAACACAAAGCTTTTCGAACACACTTTAAATTTAAAAAATTTTTAAACATTTAAAAAAATCTTTACATTAATTTCCTGAGGATGGCCTATAAGAAATAGGTTGAAAGCGTTTGAGTATTAAATTAATAGTAAGTTCAGCAAGTGTTTGGTGTTTGATTATATTTGTAAGTTAACGGCTGAGGAAGTAAGGACAGTAGGTATATTATTTCAGTGATTATTCTATTTTTCTTGGATTTGTATTGGTTCATTTATTCTACCTTGAATGTGGTAGAAGTTTTGTTGAATTGCAAAACTGCTGAGCATACAAAATGTAATCAGAAAAAAAATAATTTATGCCATGTGTTGCAAAAATTTAGAAATAATTTTTTAACAATGCAGATAAAATTATATTAAGCAGCCATTGTGGAACATTGTAGAAAATTGTACTAAATTCTGTAAACTTTTTCATAACCTTCTATTTCTTCTTTTTGTAAAAAATATTCTAGAACTGTTAGAATTCTTTAATATGCAAAAATACAGCAGAGCATCGATTATCCGACTCAATTGGGGACTCAGGTTGGTCGGATAACGGAAAAAAAATACATTATTATAATATAGTATATTATTGATAGTATATCCCATGTAATTAGTATATTAGTACTGTATATCGCTATTAACCAACTTCGCGTTGAATTTTCATCGATGTTAAGCCCAACAAAATTTTTTTTTTAATAAGAATCATTGCTATTGTATCGTTAAAAATTATTTTTAAATTATTTTATTGCTCACAAAACAAACAACCATTCATAATTAGAAAATTAAGTCTCCTTTAAATACTGGCTTTCCTTCAATGGTCGAGCCATGTTGCCAGCTAAAACACGCACAAATTTAACAAAAATAATATTAAAGTAGCCAAGACATAGACAAATATTGTAGTGCCACATCACTAGCGGACATTTGAAATTTGCCGACTAGAACAGTTGGTTAACCCAGTGTTTTTCAACCGAGGTGTCGCGGCACCTTAGGGTGCCACTGCGCCATGATTGGGGTGTCGCAAAGTTTAGGGCCTTTAGTCATTTTCTTGGAAATTTACTTAAGTGTAGTTCAAGATAACTCATTGTCAGTTCTATTTTGCTACGAAATATCTAGTAAGCAAAGAAACGATGACTAATCGCATGTTAATATAATGTTCAATGCTACGTGTACTCACGAGTTTGCCCAAACCACGTTACTTGGCCTTCACATTCCCAGTCCCATTACCAGGNTAGCGTATAGTTTTCCAAATGATTCATTAGAAGCAGATTTTTAAAATCCAAAATATGCCGCAAGATAGTTCTAGTGGCAAACCTCCCAAAGGTAAAAGAAAAAAGAATGTATCAAGAGTCCTGAGTCATGGTGATGCAGATCTTCAATTACATTATAACAAAACTGATGATGGCGATGCTTCACTTCCTCTTGCTTTTCGGTAAGTCATTGTCCAACAAAATAAGTACAGTTAAACTTGGTTTTAACAAGCAGGAAGGACCAAGCAAACTTGTTCGTTATGTATAAAAACAACCAAATGATTGCTTTAAATAATCAGGCTATAACTTTGTTAATTTAATGCTAAGTAATTTGCTACTAGAGGTAGACATTAGGTACCATTTCTTATAGCCCGATTATTTTAAGGCGATCATTTATTTATGTTTCTATATACATACCGGGCTTTGCAATGTTTGATATAATTGTTCATTATGACTGTTACCTCCAATAACTGTTGTTAGTATTTTAGAATGAAGTTTTTTTTCTTATTTCTTAAAATTCCTTATTCTACTCAATACAATAGCATTTTAAAACACAATGAAAAATTTTCTAATTAAATTATTTGAAATGCTTTGAAAAACTTAAAAATATAATTAATATGAATTTAATTATAATTATTAAATTCAATAAGAGACGGCACCTAACACCTACCTCTAAGCCAAATTACTTAGCATTTAATTATTAATAGTAGCAGTAATATAGCTCAATCTAATTCTGCAATCATTCAGCTTAATATAACTATCAAGCTTACAAATGTTTATATTTGATTATCCATATAGTTCAAATATTATTTGCCAGTTTGGCAGTGTTTTATTAATAAAATGCTTATATTCATAATGTTTCAAAACTCAATGCATTTCTGCTGTACTTCATAACAAATTATAGTGAAGCATTGAAAATCCAGATTCAGACAACAAAAAATAGCTATTAATTTAACCCCTTTCAACAGGAACTTTGTTTTTTCAGCCTTGCATTCTTGATATTCTAATATTCACTTAGAATTTGTCCAATTTTTAAATTATAATTAGTGTACTCTTTGTTTGAATATAGTAATTCTGTAAATTATATTTTGAGTTTTTTAAAATATTCCTATATTCCTTTTAAAATACTGGTTTAATCCTTTGTTCAAACACGATATAGTGCAATCACTCGACCACTTTGCATTTTTCATCATTTACTTTTATTCAGTTGATGATGAAAAATGCCAAGTGGTGAGTGTTGCACTATATTGTGTTTGAACAAAGGAAAAATACCGACGCTGTTTTAAGAATGTTAATACTGTTTAAACTTAAAACAGCTAAACTTGATTTACAATACATTTGGAGTTTACAGTAATTAAAATACTTGCACATATATTTGAAAATTCAGATGAGATCCAGCCCAATTAATCTGGATTTTTGATGCTCTGTACTTACAAAGCTTCTTGCACCTGAGACTAAATCCTACAACAGATGCCTATCTTTATGTCAATTTTTCTTTAAACACACCCAGATGCTTCACATACTACTTCCAACACTGATATTTAATGAACATTAGATGAACAAAAGAAAACAAATGTTTTCAGCTGCTTTAGTGGCTCGTTTTAGGTTACAAAAAAATTTTTATATTTTTAAATGAGTTTGTACATTCAATAAAAGGAATTTTTTATCAACAAACTTTTTCACTTTGTTGAAAAAAGGCACAATGAACATTTTATTTTTAACAAAACATTTACAAAACAGAAAAATGGCAAACTTCAAATGTTCCAAAACTCCAACATTCCAAATTCTTTTTAAAATCAAACTGCTTTCAAAATGAGTGCTATCTAGCAAAATTCTCACAATTCGTAACATATATAAATTCAAATGAACTAAAACATTTGAAATGCACAGAGCATTCTACACTTCAATGACATTATATAAATTAAAATAAGAATTTAAAAAATTTTTTAAAACATTTCTAAAAATTAAAGATTACAACATTCAATCTAAGGCTATCAATACTTATCAAGCTTCTGGCAGATTTAGTATGCCTTTATTATTAATCCACTCCTCTTTTTGCACCTGCTTAAAAATTTCAATGACCTCTGCTGTTTTGAGTTTTTGTGCATCATAAATTCTTAAGTGTTATTTTTTTCTCCCCATTTGGGACACCCAAGATTCACTTGCAAATTGGGCCAGTGCTCCTTTTTTAGGTCTTGTATGTATGTTGTTTAATTCTGGTACTTAATAATCTATCTGTGGAGTTTATATATGCTAAACAAGTTTTAAATCTTCTGTCCACTGATGATATTCTATAGACCCTGGGAACTTTTTTAGGTTCAATGTATCTTTACTCTTAGTTAGCAGTTTAAATATAATAGGGCAACATGTATAGGCTCTTTTTGTTTTACTATATTTAAACTGCTAACTAATGGTAAAGATAAATTGAACCTATAAAAGCTTCCAGGTTCTATACAATATCATTAGTGGATAGAAGATTTAAAACTTGTTTAGCATATATAGACTCCACAGATTATTAAGTACTAGAATGAAAAGAACATATGACACCTAAAAGAAAGGAGAAGTATGTAACAGCATTGGTTCAATTTGCAAATGAGCCCTGAGTGTCCCAAATGGGGAGAGGCAAAAATAATACAAAAAATTTATGATGCACAAAAATAGTATATTTCTGTTTTGTTCTATCTTATTTACATATTTTTTTTAACATGGATTTTTACTTTTCAGGGGGCGTCTGTACGAACTATTTAGCCAAATCGAAAAGGAGTTCGAGGTATTATATGCAGAAAATCTTACTTGTAAGTTGATAAATCTGAAGTTTTGATTTTGTATTTTATAACAAACTAGTTCATTTATAATTAACAAGTTAGAACATTTAGGCATTAAAAATCATATAAATAGGCAGACAAAAATAGGCAAATTAGTAGGCGCTAAATCTGAAAATAAGCTTTTAAAAATCCTGAATATTAATCAAACTGATTCAAAGAACAATGATACAACTTATGTGCTAACATTTAATGCAAACAATAGTAATTTGTTTTCCATTTTCATCCATAGAACTTTAATATATTGCTTAATTTTTAGAAAAATAAAAATGGGGGACAAAGACATTCAAAACATCTGTATAATTAATAAATACAGTGGTACCTCAGGATATGAAATTAATTTGTTTCGAAAACTGATATCGTATCATGAAAATGTCATAAGGTGAATCATTTTTCCCCATACGATTACATGTAAAACCAAATAATTCATTCCAACGCGAAAAACACGCTCAAATTAAAGCTAAGTAGTACATTTTAAAAAAAATAACTATAGTAAGGAAAACACTGAAAAATGCGTTTTGTAGTTGTAAATGTATAAATAACCATAATAGAATAATAATTGATAAAAATAATGTAATTTTATTTGCATTTTACCTTTGAGGATAGACTACGGTGGAGGTGTAAACTGGTGGCGGAAGAGAGGGAGAAGGGAAATGATACTAAAACTTAACTTACATAACATAATGTAACAATAAC